TATTTTTATTATTATATTTTTAAAGTTAATTTTTAATTCATTAAAAAATTTGAAGTTAATGCAGTATTAGACTTAAATCTTAGTGTTCAATTTTTTATTCATGGGTTATATGTGTCAACATGAATATGATACAAAAATAAACAGGTCAAGTCGACACGATATGGTTAATTAAATGGGTTGGAATTGAGTTAAATAGTGCAAGACACGATTTGTAAATAAAACAAATCTGATCGTCTCGACACGATTCCCACCCCTACATGACACATTCTTTGGAGCTTTTTTAGAGTTTCTCTAACAGATGATGTTAAACACCAAAATAACTAAATATTAACTAATCAAAACTAAAAATCATGCTCTAGCAGAACATGTTCATATACTCTAAAATAGATTTCTGTTATAACGATACTCTAAATATAGAGTATTGATGATGCACAAAACTGTCTTCGTGCAAGGTCAACAGTCAAGTATGTGTAAGGGTGTGATTAATGAGCAATTAATGAGAAATCAACGACAATGAATGAATAAAAATAGTAAATAAGCAACAAATACAAAAATTTATAGTGGTTCGGTCCAAGTGATCTACGTCCACTCGTGAAAATGATAGCGGCGGCCTGTGTTCTTTATTGATGTTGATGAATGATAGTACTCCGGAGAAATACAATGCTTTTAGGGAGACAGAGAGAAAACAATGAGTGTAAGGTTCGAAGGCGTTGGAGACGTTGGAGACGTCGGAGACTTGTCCTCAATGTTGAGAGAGCTTACATTATATAGCTAGGGTAAGGTAGTGGAGGCGGTGACGTGAGGGAAAAGAATTTTATAGTTTTGACAAGTATTGTTATGGTAGGAGATCTTCTATGTCAATCTCTATATTATCTTCCCTCGTGCTCCTATTCATCCAGAGGAGAACATTAGTTGGATTGAGCTTGACCTGGACCTGGACCTGTCTTGGCTTGGGCCTGGAGTTCCAAAGTGAAGAGGAGCGAAGAGGGAGGCGCCCAAGGGGCTAGCCCAGGCGGCGCCCAAGGGGCCAGCCTAGGCGACGCCCAAGGGGCTGCCATGGGCGACGCCCAATTGCTAAGTCTCTTGGGCATTGGCCTTGGGGCTTTGGGTGTTGACTTCTTGATGTCTTCTTTTCCAATGAATTGATCCAGTTTACAGTTGGACTTTCATTGGACCTTTTTTGGATTGTTTTCATTGGGCCTAGCCCAGTTAAATTTGTGCTCATCAAGTATCACTGTAGCAACTTGTAAATATAATTTATATTATTTTCTCTCTCTTCATTCTCTTTCCCGCCGTTGTCTTTCCCTCCCTAGTCTTTCCTTCTAGTTTGTCTATCTCCTTCCAACAGTCTCAAATATCACTCTCATCACTCCCAAAACAACGTCCCTCTCAATGTTCTTCGTCTCTTGCACACATACAAAAAGCTCATTTTTACTTCAGCTGGACTTCTTTTTCTCTTTGTAAATATAACTCTTTCTCTTGCCCCTGTTTTATGAGCTCATTGAATGGATTTAAAAGTGCAATAGAATGCATACTTCACCAATCTCTTACAAAATGGGTTCTCTTGATGCTGAATTGATTGGGTCCCCAAATCCAATGAGTCAATTGTAGCCATCCCAAGTAGAAATAGAATGCTGTGCTAAAAAATCACGTGGTGGAAATTTCACCATAGAAGAAGATAATCTTCTTGTATCAAGGTGGCTAAACATTAGTTTGGATGCAGTGCAAGGAAATGATCAATAGAAGAGTACATATTGGAAGAGAATTTGGGAGTACTTGCACAAGTATAAGACTTTTCATTCTAGTCGATCTAAGGTATCTCTAACGAATTGATGGGGATTAATTCAAAAGTGCACAAAATAAATTTTGTACATACTTGATCCAAATGGAGTCTGATGATGCACAAAAGTGAATTTATGCACAATTAAATCAGTCGAGTGTGGTTTAAAGCAATTAGTGAAGCAGTTAATAATAAAAGACAAAGATTAGGTGGTTCGGTCTAGTTGACCTAACCACTAAAGGTAATAACGGTGGTCGGAGAACTCTATTAATGAGAAAGTACAAAGTTGTAAGAGGAAAGAGAGAAAGAGTAACAGTATGCTCAAGGTGAGGTGTGTGAGATCTGCCCCCATGTGTAGGGAAGTTTACAATTTATAGGCACAAAGCTTTAGTTGAGGCGGTGATGCGTGGATCAAGGTACTAGTTTATTGAAGATGATAGCTACAATTGGGGATATACACTAGCTTGAAGTCATGACTATCTCGATGATTGCTCTTCCACGTGCGTTGACTCTTCCTAAACTCTTGAGTTTTGAACTGGACTGAAGTCATGAGCTAAGCCTAATCTGCCTTTTGATGGTTTGGCTTAATCTATGAACTGAGCCTATACTTGGTCTGAATTTGGGCTTATCAGAATCCATTAACCAAAGTGGATTGAATGAGCAAGACAAGGCAGGAAAAACCAAACATTAGATCTTTGGCAACATAGTCTCCTTATTCAGCAGACACGATAAACCTAGGGGAAGATAAGGTCTTCACCAATGAATGTAGTTTTGGAGAGACTAATAGGGAGGAAGGCTGAAAAGGAGCAGTTGAAGAAAAGAAAAGGTAGTGATTATGCGAGCTTGGAAGTTGCAAGTATACTTAAAGACATAAAAGAAGATAGGAAGAAAATGAATGAGAGAAAAATAGAATTCATGGAGAAAACATCCATGCAGAAGCAAGAGAGACTTCGATTAAAGGAAGAAAAGTTTCGAGTCGAACAAACCAAAGAAGATGACACAATTATGCTGGTGGATATGAGTGGCCTATCTGAAATCCAAAGGGAATATTTTCATCATCGTAAAATGGAAATCCTAGAAAAGCGAAGGTGGAATTAGTTTTTAATGGTTTTGTTATCTTTTTGAACAATTTTATGGTGTAGCTTGATGCTTTTGTTACCTATTAGGATTGTTGAACTATTAGTTTTTGTTACCAGTACATGTAAATATAGGAAAAATAAAATTGTTATTTCTCAACCATCTTAATGCCAACAAGCAATTAACAACTGAATAGGTGATTACAAAAGTATGGAAATGTGAATACAAGTACTGAATGCGATGATGGTTTTGAATGAACTAAATTGTGATTACAGTAGGTCCCTTGAGTTATGAGACAAGTTGTTACGATAGACCACGTAATTGCCACAAGTGCTCAACAAGATCCGATTGGAGTTGATGAGTTTTTCTATCTCTAATGCGATGATGGTTTTGAATGAACTCCATAACTTCAGGGGTCCGCTCATGATATACATGTACCTAGGGCGTTGCATTGATGCATTCATATTCAAAATCTCCATTCGTTTTGTTGGTATGTTGTTCATCTTCAATAATCATGTTATGTAGTATTATGCATACTTTCATAATGTCTTTGAGCATTTCACGTTTCCAAGATCGTGCAGGTCCATGCACAATTGCAAATCATACTTGCAACACTCCAAATGCACGTTATATATCCTTTCTTATTGACTCTTGCATGGTAACAAAATGTTTTCTTTTGTTTCCTTGTGGAGATGAAATTATTTTTACAAATGTTGACCACTGGGGATATATACCATCGGCGAGATAGTATCACATTGTATAGTTATTCCCATTGATTGAGTAATTAACTAGAGGAGCACGTCCTTGAGCAATCTCATAAAATAAAAAAGATCTTTCAAGCACGATGATGTCATTATGGGAACCTAATAACTCAAAAAAAGGCATGTCATATCCAAAGATCATATGAAACCACTGCTTCTAAAATTATTGTTGATTCAAGAACAGTCTATAAAACATACCCCTCCAAGCAGTCAGGTAATTCTTCAATTGCTAGTGCATGCAATCAGTGCTCCCTAACATCCCAGGAAAATCACGTCTTTCTCCAACTTCTAGCAATCTAGCTATGTCATTGCTATTTGGTGACCTTAAGTACTCGTCGAAAAAAAATTGAAACCATCGCTTTAACAATTTTTTCTAAACTCTCTATTGCAGTGCTTTCTTCAATTCTCACGTATTTGTCCATAAAGTCAGTGGCGACTCCATAAACAAGGATTCTGATAGCAACCATCATTTTTTGAAGAGAAGAAACGCCAAGCTTTGCAGCACAATTTCTTTTTTCAACAAAATATGGTTCGTGAGCTTGTAGCGCAAATTGTATTCAAAGAAAAAGAGAAAGATGCATTTGAAATCTCCTCCAAAATAACTTTACATCATATATTGGTGAATCTGCAAAGTAATCAAGAAAAAACCTTTTGTGGCCTTGCAAATAATCACGTCTGATAACCGCTTGGCCTGGAACAAAACCATGTCGTGATATGGATCCCCCCCTTGTTGTTTTGAAGTTCATGTGCCATAAAAACTTTTGTAACTATTTCTAACTTATCATTAGAGTCGGAGTCTTCAATTAGCATATTTTCATCTAATTGACAACCACAAGAGACGCACGTAAAAAGGAAAAAGATCATAATTTAACAAAAGTTATCATGTGCATTTCATATGACTGTCAATTTGACGAAAATCACAATCCTAGGCATTACATCCATTACGATTTTTATTGGATTGATAGACACGTGAGACACACATGAAAATGGGAACCACCATAATCTGACAAAATTCATTGTGTGCATCTAACGTGATTGAAAATTGATGAAAATCCAATGAACGTTATGGTTGGGGTCATATTACTACTAATTAATTTAATTGAGGGTACAATTTAAAACAATTAATGTTTGAGGGTAAAATTTAAACTTTTTTTAATCTTTCGGTGTGCAAACTGCAATTTTGCCTTTTATTTATTCATTTTCTTCTGGCTGAATTGGGTTTATATTGGGCCTACCATTGGATTAGCCCATATACTACCATGCCAGATTTGTCCACTATTCGAGACAAACAAACCCAAAAAAATGGAAGCCTCATGTTGGGTCCAGAGTCCACAGATAAAGGCCCAATTACTTCAACTTTGGGCCATGGCCCGTGAACAAACATGCTCTTGCACCCTAACGAATTTCGACGATCTTCTCCGCCCCCTTCTGCGACTGTGAGGGACACACCGCAGACAAACGAAACGAACAGACAGTACAACGGTTTCCCAAAATTTCAGCTTTTACTACTTTAGGCCAATAGCTCCTTACGGTCCCGTCTACTCTGTGTGTGTGAGTGTGTGTGTATCACAGATATTCGCTCTCGCAAGCGTACAGAATATAGATATATAGTACAGGTATGTGTGCATGTCGCTATATATAAATATTCTCACTTTGTATATTAGTGTAATGGTATATCTTTCGTACGACCAGTAACGATGGTATATGGAGTTCCGTCGGTATCGTATCATGTTTTTGACCAATTATGCTGCTTTGTGTTACTCTGCTTGTTGATAATTCTAGGGTTCTTGTTTCTCTTTCCCTACTGCAACTCAATAGCCCCATTTAACCCCCCCCCCCACCGAACACTCACACACACACACTCCTTGGAACTTGTATAAATAGAGGCATATTTTTCCCGCTGCTTTGCTTGCTAGAAGAGTTGAGTTTGATTTCAACTTTTTCCGTGAAGCTTTATTGTGATTAGTTTTCCAAAATTGCAACTTTGAACCATATTTGGAACTAAACCATTTTGCTGCTACTCCCGGCAGACGTACGTCTGCTGCTGCATTTAGATGTTGTAGATATAGATATAGAATTATGAATTTTGAAAACTCATTTGATCTTTTTTGTCGCTAAGTGATTTGCTTATTGGTTTCAAAAATTTCGGGACACCATAGGTAGGCATCGCGGGGGAAGTTCTTATGGTTTCTGTTGGTTCAAAAGCTTTATCTCTGAGAAAACATAAAGCCTGTAATTTAACGGAGGACAGCATGATGGCTGGGGAAGATAATTCGTCTAAATGGGGTGGAAGGAAAAGAAGCATGAGCAGAAAGGGCGAAAAAAAACGTGGCAGTTTTGATGGAGATTATGCTACCAAAAAACGATCTGGTGGGGTGCATGATGAACCTGTCAAAACTCGTAAATCTTCAAATTACCAAGGAGCATCGGTGCCACAGACATCTTTTGTCAGGTTTTGATTGCTTTGGCACACATGATTTGTACTTTTTTTAACCACTGTGAATGGTTTCTTTTTAGTAGTCAATGAAATCATGATCAGGGCAATATATTTTAACTGTAGAAAACAGGTTGATCCTGAAACAGCTAAATACTTCTCAGAGATTGCGAATGTCGTTGAAGGTACTGAAATTGACTTAGAGGAGCGATCAGCTATATGTGGTAATGCTTTAGAAGAAACAAGACAGAAAGAAGTAGAACTTTCTACTGATTATATCATAAGCCACACTTTGCAAACCCTCCTTGAAGGATGTTCTGTGGACCATCTTTGTGGTTTCTTACAAAGCTGTGCAAAAGACTTCCCTCGTATTGCAATGGACAGATCTGGTTCTCACGTAGCTGAAACAGCTCTCAGGTCTTTAGCTTTCCATCTCCAAGACAATGAAACCCACTCTCTTGTTGAAGAGACACTAACAACAATATGCCAGGTATGAAAAGTTGAATATTTGTTAAAAACTTTGGGTTTCAATTTTCTATGGTTTTGAGGATTTACTGATGTCCTAGCAGTATCTATTCTGCATTTTATTTGGTGAGCCCTTGTGTAAGGACAAGTGAAAAAGGCTATTATTTTCTTGTTAGACTACAATACTAGGTCATCATTATCCAATCCCAAAGTAATAGAAAAGGCACTTGTTTTATGGGATGAATTTAGCATAGATGGAGTGGTGGTACCTCTTTAACTTAATTGGTTTATTTCATGCTTCCTTTGGAGCCAGGCAATTGTGGTGAACCCTGTTGATGTAATGTGTGACTGTTATGGATCTCATGTCCTTCGGAGTCTTCTCTGTCTTTGTAAAGGAGTACCGCTAGACGCATCAGAGTTCCATGGGACAAAGGCATCAACTGTTCTAGCTGAGCGGCTGAATTTTAGGCCATCTTTTCTGGACAAAAACAGTGCACAACATTTTCAGCATGGATATCCCAATCTACTGAAATTCCTTGTATCAGAGATGTTAAATACTTCCAGAAAAGACATTGCAACACTGCAAGTTGATCAATACAGCAGTTTGGTCTTGCAGGTAAGATTTAGCTGCTTCTTTAACTTCTTATTTTGCATCATTGTCATTTATTCATATTTGCTGATTTTTGTTTGGCTATTTTTGGAATTTTGGGATCCCATTCCCTGTGTACCACAATTTTATGAACCTTTATATCTTCAGTATATAATTAAATGGTGAGTACCAATGTTTTATTGTGGGAGGCTAAAGGATAATGTCAAATGAACCCTTTTAATTGTTCAATAATATATAGATGCCAAGATATCTTGTATTTGATGAATTCTTTTATTTAATGGCAGACTGCTTTGAAGTTATTAGCTGGACAAGAACAGGAGTTGTTGGATATAATTCCAATTCTTCTTGGCTGCAGTAGGAAAAATAGCGTGGAAGGGAACTTCATTGAAAGTACCGTGGTACAAAAGCTTTTAAATTTAGTGAAAGAAACTGCTTACAGCCGTTTAATGGAGGTGAGATTAACAGTGGCAGACCACATTTTTTGGTTTACTTAACGTGTTCTTAGTAACAGTTTGTGAATGACTACTTTTTCTCACTATGCTTCGAGCCTTGTGGCATTTATGCCTCCTGTTGTTTGTGTGCCTTGTCATTTATATTAACCGTCAAATGAAAAATGAAACATTGACTGTCACACAATCACTTTGTTTTCTTTTTCTGTTTTTTTTTTGGGGAATTTTTTTTTTTTGGGGAGGGGGGGGGGAAGTGAACACCTATTCTGGTTGTAAAGATCGAAAGCTGTGAACTCAAACAATCTACTTACAAGAAGTGAATTAAAATTATAATTCACAAAATTTATTATGATCACTTTTCGTTGGAAGATTATTACAGAATTAAGACCCTCATCGTTGCCCTATTAAATATTCAGTGTACTACTTTTTCCCCCTTTATTTTATGAGAAACAAAAACTAATAGCAGGGCCCAAAAAAGGGTCAATATCCATATAACTGTGATGTGTATCCAGGTGAATATACATGTGATGTTTCCTTTATGTTTTCTAACTTTTGATAGTGGTGTCTATCCGAATTCTATAAAATCATTCTGTTTTACTCAAACTTTATTCAACTTTTTTTGCAGGTCATCTTGGAAGTAGCTCCTGAAAACTTATACAATGAACTATTCACTAAAGTTTTCAGATACTCATTGTTTGAGATGTCATCTCATCCCTGCGGGAATTTTGTAGTCCAAGCATTAATTTCTTATGCCAGGTCCCCAGATCATGTACGTGTGCTAATACTTGACTGTATATGAGCTCTTTTATGGCATGTTATGTTGTATGAAACACTTCCCATTGACCATGACTCCGAATATACTGGGTCAAATTTGCTTAATAGGAGTATTCTGTTGTAAATTAGCTGCATTGCTGTGTAATTTAGGTTCAGCTAGAAGCATATTTGGAGTTGATTGTCGTACTGTCTACTCTTGGTATTAATGTGCATTGACGTTTTATGAAATCTTTCTGGCTTTGGCTATTAGATGGAGTTGATTTGGGAGGAAGTTGGAGCGAAATTTATGGATCTTCTTGGAATGGGGAGGTCTGGAGTTGTTGCTTCTTTTATTGCTGCAAGTCAAAAACTTCATAGTCAAGAGCATAAGGTCTATACTTCAATGACTTGTCCTTCAACATTTGTTAGCTTTACACTTTGATACACTGAAATAATCGAGTCTTACAGTGAATTACTTTTGTTTGATGCAACCATCTTCAAGGATAAATACATGGTATATTCTATTTTATAGGTGCATGGATCAATGATTCACTCTGAAAATGGGCTCTGTTTTCATGTGTTTGGCAGTGTTGTCATGCCCTTGCTGCTGCTGTACGTTTGGCAGATGAATCGCCTACATGCATTGTTCCTCGAATATTATTTCTTGACAACTACTTCTGCTCTGGGGATAAATCCAACTGGAGTTGGCCAAATGGTGTTAAGATGCATGTTATGGGGTCTTTAATTCTGCAGTCAGTTTTTAGACTTCCAAGCGTACGTTGCTTTTCTTTATTCATGATGCTGTCACCCATGTTTTTAAAATATTGAACCGTTATTGAAGGGAATATCTTCCACGAATGCTATTTCATATGACAATTTGTAGCTTTTTTGATACCTCTTTGTTATCAAGAGTGTTTTATTGAAGCTGTCTTCTTTATTGGTTATTTTGGACGAGCATGTTATCTTGACCTTTTAGTGCTGTTATTGGCAATGGTTCTTGCCCCTACTGACAACATGGTACCTGAGCTATTTTATAGTTTGCATGTGGTATGTCAATTCTTGCCATGACAAACTAGGGTACTAATGGTTTCATGCTTGGCTTTGCCGTAAAAACTTATAATGCAATCTGGTCTCTTGTAGCAACCAAAAGAGAAAGACCTATATTTCTCAACTGTTCAAACATATTATTTATTTTTATATTGTACCCTGAACTCTTATTAAAGTATCATGTAGGTGATGAAACAATTCTGGGTTAGCTATACATGCATGCTCTTTTCTTCATCCTTCTAACTATTTTACTGGAAAAATTAAAATTTTGTTTGGTATAACTCCCAAGTTTAAAATTTTCTCTTAATCCTGCATCACCATTTCAAAGTAGTAAATGCATGATTTGTGTATATCATGTTTAATTCTTGCAAGCGAGGGTTCTTATGGTGTTTTTCCCCTGACGTTTCAGGTGTGCTAGGCCCTAGAATTGCCTCACATTTGGTACTGCAGCTGCAGCATTGTTTATGTCATTCTATTTATGGCTTTTTCTCGGAAATACAATGCTGCAGTTGGCATCCATGTTGGCTTGCTTGCACTAGTTTAATGAGGTCGATCACTTCTGCACATTTCATGCATTTCGGTATCATTTCTTTTCAATTGATATATTGGTTTTTGTTTTGTTTAACAGGAATTTAATCAGGCTTTTATTACAAGTATCACATCTTTGGAAGCTGATCATGTCCTTGCAGCATCAAGAGACTCTGGGGGTGCACGGGTTATTGAGGCTTTTCTTACTTCAAATGCCTCTGTAAAACAGAAGCGAAAATTAGTTGTCAAGTATGTCATGCTGCTACATTATTCCCTATTTCATTTCCAGAATTTCTTAATATGCATAGGCTCTTTGAGTGGAAAGCATTGTTACTATCTAAGGGGTACTGTGTCACTATAAAGATAACATGGGTTCTGACACACTTTGTTAAAATTGATGTTTGATGTCCGTCAGTTTGATCTGATGATTTAATGGCATCAGTCTTAGATTTTGGCTGCTCTTATGATACCAATTCAATATAAGAACCACCTCATGGGGTGCCTCAAGGAGCTATGAGTCTTTTTTTTTGTGTTAGCACTATATATCATGGATCTATGTACAAATATCATGATGTTGTGCCTTACAAAATTGGATTTCTGTAGATGTGTTTAATTGGTAAAGATTAGGGAAAGTTAGGAGAAATATATGAGTTTAACCTAAGCAACTGCAAAACATTAAAAAAAATTGAGTTGCTAAAGAAATTTGAATAAATCTTGAAAACATAGATGTATATTAGTAAGATGAAGTTATGTACCAAACCCGTTATTACTAAAAGGAGACGATAATGTCTCGAAAGTTTTTAAGAATATTTTAGAATTGCGTGAAACTGTAGAATTGGTTTGCAAAATTTCTACTGCCATTAAAGTTTTGTTTATACCTTATATATTAAATAACACCATGACATAAAGTAATGTCATGGCAAAGAGCATGCTGTTTAAAAGAGTATGACATGCAGAAATCTTTTGTTTTTGGGTACACTTTGTATATGGGACAGTACTTCTGTACCTACATATTTGCAACGAAAATAAAAAATCATCCTTTAGGCACACGCATAGTGAAGATGAATGAAGGACCAGCACAAGCCATCCCGAGTGCCAAAATGCAAGAGTGCCACTAGAGTTGCCACCCACTCCTCTATTGTGCTATAACTTCTTAGTAATTTATCTGTTTAAGATCATACATAAAAATAGAAGATTTCCATTTTGCACTTAAATTCATACTGGACCTTGGTAGCTTTAGCATGAGTAGCACACATGCTTCTAAACAAGGTACTCCATCCATCTGAAATATATCTCAAATTCTGACACTTAGGTGATACTCCTGATTTGAGCTGGACTCCTCCTAAACTAATGCACATACTAGACAGTTTTATTTTTCCTAAATTCCGGACTTGTGGTTGAATGGTCAGACATATAGTTGTCCGAAAATTCTGCTTCTTGTGTTTCATGGGTTCTAATTGCACATGTCAGCATATCCTAGACATATCCATTTTAAGGAAGTGTGTTTATATGTATATTATATACAATCAACATAGTGAGTGTGGGTGTCCACATGTAGGCATGTATGAATGTACTGTTGACATTAACATGTGACAACCGTCACAACCCTTTGAGGCACTTTTGCTTTCAGTTCCTTCTGTTTTCTTCAAATATATATTGTACACGTTAGAGTGTTATAACGTGATGTCATCCAATATCTTGGGCTGATTTTTGACCCCCTTTTTCTTCCTGCATACTGATGGAGCTGACATATTTGGATTTGATTTTACAAGATTACCAACTGCTCTCACAATTTTTGACTGCCCCATTTAGGTTATAGCATCTCAGTGGGGATCATGTATATGATTATCCTATCTCTTGCTGTATTAATGTTATATTGTTTTGTTTTCGACAATTACTCTTAAGGCTTCGAGGCCATTTCGGAGAGCTTTCGGTGCATCCTTCAGGTTCATTTACAGTTGAAAAGTGCTTCAATGCCAGCAGTATATCTCTGAGAGAGGCAATTGTCTCCGAGTTGTTAGCCGTGCAGACAGAGCTCTCCAAGACTAAACAGGGCCCTTATCTCTTGAGGAAACTAGACATTGAAGGGTGAGTGCTGGCGTTGGCTGTTTTCTTTTTGGTGGCAATTGTCAAAGATAAGAACTAAATAAGTGAAAGCGTGTGTTGTCAGTTACATTGTTTCATTAAATGGTTATTTTTTTTTTGCTTGGCATCCCAATTATCTTTATTCTATCAACATTTCATCAGGGTCATTAAATCCAAGATGGCAGGCCTTGCAGAGGTGCTGTGATGTTAGATTTTGTTTGCCATCTAGTTAATTTTGATGGCTGCTTGGTCTTGCTTAAGGCCCTTTTCTTTTTGTTAGGTGGATTTGGCAGAGGGTTGAATCGGTTTTTCCAAACCTGATGTGGTATTCAAAGTATGCTAGTATTAGATAAACTTGTCTATAACAAATTCCCTTTAAAGTTGACAAAGACTTGTATCTGGATGCTCAAACTTTTTTCAAATCAGACGGTGTTTCTATCCTATCAAGGGCTAAAGACTTACTTCTAGAACTTTGTCTCAGGAAAAAATAAGGAGTTTGTTTGAGCCCTCCAAACACTGGAAATATGCTAGTTATGGAGTGAAATCCACTCCAATACACGTCCTTTTTTCTTATTGGCAAATCATCTACCATGAATTCAGGTGGGACCCATTTTATAAAAGTGGGTCCCTCGGTAATACATGATAGGTGATTTGCCGAGAAGGAAAAATGAGGAAATGTGTATTGGAGTGGATCTTGGTCCGCTAGTTATTGGATTACTATCAAAGGATTTTACTGGAGTATTAAATCCTAAAATGTCCTGATAAATATCAGTTGCACAAGCTTTAGTAACTGATTAGTCTTATTATGTGTGACCTGAGATAGTTGAGCCTGGTAATATACTTTATTTTGCGGAATCTTCAAGTCTGGTTCGCTTCTATTTTGAGTCACCATGATTTGATAAATGGAGTGTGCAGTTTTTCTTTTCTTTTTGTTTTTGCAGAAAGGGAGGGGAAGGGATTCATTGAGAGGAGTAGCACCACTTTCAAAATTTGTGTTCTTCCTTCTCAATGCTCATTAGCTGAACGCTGAAGACTAGGAACAGAATTTATATGCATATTACGATCTCGAGCACCAAAATATCTGTTTCCCGTATTATTAAGTTACAGTTTTTCGCTCTGGTTTTGTTGCAAGAAATCATTTAACTGCTCTCATTGCATGAGCTTTATTTGTTGGTTAGCCAGGATAGGGATTCATAATATAATATGTCATGTTCTTGTGTTCTGGACTGCTGGTCATGGTTCTAAATATCCAGATTATGTCTTCCTTAGTATAAATGAATAGTCTTGTCATTTCGTTTCTTTAGCAAAAACTTGTCCCAGTAACTTGACTCACATTGGTTATACACAAAAGTCACACTGTGTTGACAAGTTCGCTCCTGGCCCATGACACATGCATTCATAGCCACTCAATAGGAATTTCAGACACATTCAGTTTGGTACTTTATATTGCTTGTTTTTTTGTTGGGATATAACATTTGACTGATGTTGTTGATCTTTGTTGGTGTTTTCTTTGCTTTCTATAACAGATTTGCAAAACGACCTGATCAGTGGAAGTCTAGACAAGCATCCAAAGAATCTGCTTACCAAGAATTCTATTATGCATTTGGCCCAACGGCATCCAAATCATCAAAGAATGACAGCTTTCTTGCGGATGCTCATCACACGTCACAGCCAGCAAAGTTAAAAGAGATGAGGAAGGAGATTGACGCATGCCTGGCTTCTGCAGCGGATCCTTCTTTGGGGACCCAATTTCTGGCTCAAAAAGGTTCAACTAAGTCAAGAAAGTCAGGCCTTAAACGGCCCCCAGAAAGAGCAGGAAAGCATAGTCACAAATTTAACAAATATGCTATGGATGATGATATTTCCAAAAGCAAAAATAGAAAGCAGAGAAAGAATAAAGGATAGTACTGAAGCTGAGAATGCCTCCAGAGGAAACCATCAAAATCTGTTGGCAAGAAAGGAAGAAACGAAGCATGAAAAGTGGTCTGTTAAAATAGTTACGAAAGGAGATAGAGTGTGAGATGTAAATTTTGCAGGTTTTTGATTGTTTTTGTCTTTCTTTTTATCTTTGCCGTTTTATTCCTGTGTTTTGCACTGTTTGATTGAAAATGCATGGACCATAGTTTTTCCCATACATACTTATTTAGTTCAATTTTATTCTTGTTCTAGTAGTAATAGTGAAGTTTTGTCGAGTAATTTGATTTGGTTGAGAGGTGAATGCTGAGCAGAAAACTATTGTATTCACATCTGTCAAACTATTGAGTTACATCAAACAGCAAAATTGAATACTTAGACAAAACTTGTTATTCTTGCACTAACAGATGTAAACACTCCACTCTGGCAGCAAAGTGTATCCGAAATTAACGAAAGAATTGCTTTGGCGGTATTGTTCTCTAGCGTTTGCCACTTCCTTCAGCCCTCTTATGGAGGCTTGGACCTGGCACAAGGACATGGTAATTGAGTGAAAGCTGCTTATGGTGGGAAGTCTTAGAATCTCAGGACTCGGAAGTTACTTGTTCTGTGTGGGATTCGGGCAGCTGGGTGGTATCACCCGAAAACTTGAGCCGACCTGCTTAAATGGATCCTTCTTGTCTACCTGCAAATCTTTGTGAGTTTGTGAAGATGCAGCCATGGTTGACTGGGAGGAAGGATGCACTTTTGTCGAGAGTAGACGGGCTGCTTGAGCTCCAGTATGGCAGGTTTGTAGAGTGAACAGAAGAGCAAGAAGCAAAGCAACCTGTGCTCTAGAGTGGAACTTCATGATTTAGCAAATCCTCACAGAACAGACTGAAAGTTTCTGTAGCAATGTAAGCGAAAAAGATTGCTATTCAAACTCTTGTGATGAAGCTTTGATGGAGATTGAGAGTCACTCTTGATTTATATCTGGTTTTGTAGTTGTAAAATCAGTTGGGGATCTGATGCAGGTGGGATCATGTGATGCTTCTTTGACTTGACTGTTCCATGTCACTCCTCTGCCTTCCAGATTAGCTATTACAGTTTTCTGAGAGGGTCATGTGACTGGGCACGTGATAATATTAAACCTTTGGTGTTGCTGTAGTATTTGATAATATATTGTGGTTGCTCTGCACATCAAGATAATTGTGATTCATTTTGTTGCAAACCAAGATTCCTTATACTATGTTTCTCAACTAGCTCAAGTGGGCAAGTTGCAGAGTATATTTGGTTGGGTATGAAGTTAAAAGGGCAACCAAGTATAAACAAATGTACACGAGATTCTTATCATTGTGAGATTTAAAGAGAGTTAGATATATCATGTTGCTACGTGAAAGGAGATAGTATTGTAACTCGAACCCTTGATATCTGAGTGACAATAGAGCAAACTTATCATTACATTAAGCTCCGTTGCTCAAGGAATGAAAAAAACAAAAATAACTGCAAATTCAAATGTACAAGTTCTGCAATATAGCCTTTCTTACATTGAAATGGGGTCATCTGTCTCCTAAACCGGATGTTTACGTTCATATTTATTGGTCATCAAGTCAGAAAAGGGAAATAACAGGAAAGGAAAAAGGAGGGGGTAGGATATTCCTTTTCTTTTTGTTCAACAGTTTAATTTACGTGTACCTTGATCAATTTTTTCAGCGATTCGGTCAAAAGTAAGTTATCTATGTCCGAAATAGATAATTCATTAGGGATAATCCCTCATGACTTGACCCCAAAAAATTGTTAAAATTCAAAATAAAAACATTTAAATTTATAATTCGTATTTATTATGGCTTGAACTATTTATTAAAATTCGGATGATATCCCCGTAATGTACTGTGGTATCGTACCTGCTTAGTTCATTAGTCAAAAGGAGTTGGTTTCACTGATGTTTAGGAGCAGTCTTGGAAATGATAATCTTGACAAAATGTCACCCATTGGTTTATTTTAAAACTATCCTCTGAAAATGTCTGTATTAACAAAGATTATATGGACATCACTGTTGAATTTGTTGTCCGAATTCCTCAATATCATCCTGTCACGTAGGCCTCGAAATTAGCTAAGCCAACGACTGATTTAGTGCCTCACATGATGTCTCCAACATCTACGTAGAGACAAGGCTGTGCTAGGTAGGGGGGGGGGGGGGGGTCATGGGTCAATTTCCGTGTCTGGATAAGGATTCGGGTTTGGTTTTGCTTGTTGGACAAAAACAGATTTTTTGCCGAATTTGAACCTAAATTAAAGTAGACCCACTCATCGTTTTGAGTAATTTTTCGTGAGATCATATTCTATTCCGTAATGAAAATAACTTTGTATATTCGTTTGCTCAAATCAAGTAAGAGATAAATAAAAAAATAGTTTTCAAAATAACATTCTTAGAATGTAAAAATAGAGGTCAAGACAATCAATGGCACCCCACTTTTGTGGGCTATAGAGGATTTAGATGGACTTAAATTTGAACACACGCATCTGTCGAGCTCGGGTGTGGGTATAGTTTAGATTTAACCTTATTTTTTTGAAAAAAAAATTATTTCTTAAATGGGTCATTAATTTCTTAACCCAAGTTTTAATTTATGTATGTTGTAATTCAAAATTCGCACTGGGTTGCATGATGTATTTCGCGTTGTATCTCAATAATAGTTCTGAATCTCTGTATCTATAAAAATACCCAGATTCATTCTCCATTACTAACTCACATACTTGCAAAATTCGTAATTACTAAAGTCATTACATTTATCATTTTTCGTTTTTAAGAGTCTTCATAATAGAGCATACAAATCATAGTTCAGTCCATTGGGCAAATAGATTGAAGTCTTCAATTACATTTTTTTTTTTAAAAAAGGAAATACACGTATCTAGGGGTATCCATGAATCGGATGGGCCCATAAGACCCATTCTCCGCCCCCCGAAAAAATAAGACCAAAACACTATAGTTGGCTGTCATAGTCCGAACTCAATATTCTTCGAAAGAAGGTTTTGGCCTGGCCTAAGCCCATTACCCTACCCATTAGCCCACCCACAAAAAAACTGGTCCAATAACCCACCCACCCCCCTAGCCTAGCCCCCCCGCCCACTTTGTTCGAAAAAAAACTGATCAATGAAAGTTTGGTGACATATCCCTCTAAAAAAAAATTATTTATTTAAATACTAAGTTGCAGTATTCATTATTTACTTTTTATTTATTTTGACCCCAATTTTATTTCACAAATATAATTACAAAAATATTAAGTTAAAAATGTTTTAAATAAAGATGTGTATATATAAAAATGCTTGCCCAGTAAGTGACAGGTTGAGTTACGGGTCTACCCAATAACTCACATGAGTAAAGGTTACTCTACTCAAACTCAATCCGGCCCATGGGCACTCCTATGCATATCTTTCATGAGCAATGCTATTGAGACATAATTTAGGAACATAATTTAAGAATATAATACATTTTGACCAATAGAGTGATAGTAACATGCATTTAATACTCTAATCGGTCCCATCATTAAATGTATTTTCTATTATTTTATTAGTCACAATACATTATGTTTTCAAATTATATCTCTCAATTACAATAACATTAGTGATCTTTCATTAGTCAACAGAAGATACCATACAATCTGATAGTAACAGAGCCTTCAACTCACTTGTTGGGTTAATAATACTCAAGTCTAAGGGTAATGAACTAGTTAAACAAGCTTTGACAATCCAGTGAGCAACACTATTAGAAAGTCCTAGGCTTAAAATAGAAATTCAGGTTATAAGAACCTACCAGCCCTTTTATGTCCTCCAAAAAAGCAGAGATTTCCCAATGCAGAGAAGAATGAGGCCTTGGCATTCATTTTCAATAGTGGAGACAAGGCAATAGAGTTGTATTCGTAGTCTTTATTATTTATTTAAATAAAGACTAGTCTTTCTGTTGAAATCCTGGGCACACGCACTAAATAAATTGGGGTCTCAATGCAATTTTCCAAAATAGAAGGGTATTTCCGTGATAAAATTAAATATCAAAGAATGTGCGTAAAATTTGCCATTAAGTCTTTCTGTCTGTTTCTATCGGTAGTGATGATGCACAAAAAAATTTTGCACAAAAATAACAGTCCAGTATGTGATAAGATATAGTTAATGGACAATAAATAAAACAATCAATAACAGTAATGTAAATATCAAGTCAATAACAGATATAAAATGGTTCGGGGGGTCTTTATTGATGAAGTAGAGTGAATGGAGGAGCGAGCAATGGGTAGCTTTGAGAGAGATACAAAAGCTAGGAGAGAGAGAAGTTATGTGTGTGTAGATAGGTATAGAGGGGTGTGGTGAGATGCCAAGATATGTCATTTCATGTGGAGAAAACTTACAATTTATAGGCATGGTTACAATTTATATGCATGATGAAGCAATGACGTGCAAGTAAAGGCACTAATTTTTCGGGGAGGATAGCTACAAAAGGTAAGTACAATTAATATAACCTTGATCTTCAACGGTAAGTATCCCAATGATATCTCTCTTATGTGTTCTTATCTTCTTGGGCTTTTTGGAACTTGGATTGAGCCAAATTTGTGAACTGGGTTTGTTCTACCTTTTAGTTGAGTTGGGTTTGTTGGATTTATTGGGTCTAACCCGGTTAGATTTGGGCTCATCAGATAGATCAATTAGATCAACTTGAAACTAGCCCAATTTGATATTTAACGTTAAATCATGTTTATGAAAATGAATGGAATGACTTAATTGTGATAAAAATGATAATTAAAGGACTAATTTGAAATAATTAAAAGTTCAAGGACTTAATTAAAATCAAAAACAAAATTTAAGGACCAACTATGAGATTTACCTATCTAAATAAGACCAGAATTATAATTTTACGATAATGTCCATCTTATGTTTATCCATTTTTTTTTTTTACTAAGTTATGTTTATCCTTTTTAACCTCCTCATTTAGATGTCTGTTGGGTGAGGATCAGTTTGAAAGCATCAATACAGCTAATGTGGGAGTTAGGTGCCACTTTCTCTAGTAAACATTCAATGCAACATTGATATTATGACATTACTCTCACGTGACGTCGCCATTTAATTAACAAATTAAAAATAAATAAAGTAAACCCTACTTTTTTCAAGACTATCAATAACCATCACATCTAATCAACAACACATAGGATTAATGAGATCAATTTTACTTATTTATTATCTTCTAATTAGATCTTGATACCATGTAACGATAATGACATGATGTCATCGTTGTAATAAATATTTTCTCCATTTCTCATGGGATGATATTCTATCTTCCCTAAGAATGTATACCAATTTATCTTGGTCTTTGGTTTTTTTTTTTTTTTAACAAATTTCACTGTTGTGCAGTGTTATAAAGACCAAATTCAATATAACAATTAAATTAATTACGAGTTTCAATATTTGATAAATTCTACTTTTAATTTAATAATAATAATAACAATAATTAATTAAGTCGAAATAAATCTTTTCCCTTACGTAATTAAGTCTTAAGTCTTTAAATTAGGGTGTTTAGACTTATACCGATTAGAGAGTGGCTGACTCTTAGGGAGTATAAAAAGTATCGAACTTAAAACCTATTACTTACAATAGGACATGCTTAACTACTGAACCACCTTTAAGAATCTCTTACATAATATATACGTGTTTTTATGAGTAATGTTACATGGATATAAAAATTAGACTCGATAATTATAACTATTGATTTTAGTGTGGGTCACAGTATTTATTGGGACCTACTACCTATTCAATAATTGTAATTATTAAGTTTAATTTTTAAGTTCGTGTAGCATTACTCGTTTTTTATTGTGGTAGAACATTTAAGTA